CCAGACCATTGGGTGCCCCGATGGAGCCAAATCATCACTTGGCTCGTTCCCAAGCTCCTGTCCTTGCAGATCCGGAACCGTATCGACGGCTGGTAGGCAGATTGGTCTATCTCTCTGTTACTCGACCTGAGCTCTCCTACGCTGTACATACTTTGGCACAATTTTTGAAAGAACCAAGGGAGGATCAGTGGTCTGTAGCGCTTGGGGTGGTTCGTTACTTGAAAGGGTGTCCTGGACAGGGCATTTTACTCTCTGCAGATAGTAGCCTTCAGCTTACGGGATGGTGTGATTCAGACTAGGCAGCATGTCCTTTGACCCGGCGATCGTTGACAGGCTGGTTCATGCAACTTGGGGAATCGCTGGTTTCGTGGAAGACAAAGAAGCAGACAACGGTGGCTCGTTCGTTTGCTAAGGCAGAGTACAGGGCTCTCGCTGTTCTTACCTGTGAGCTGAAGTGGTTGAAGAATTTGTTGAGATGCTTGGGGGTTGATCATAGGACTCCTATGATCGTACGTTGTGACAGCACCGCAGCACTTCATATTGCTGCTAATCCGGTTTTTCACGAACGAACGAAGCATTTTGAGATTGATTGTCATTTCGTTCGTGATGAGCTTTTACGAGGAGAAATTTGTGCTCTTCATGTGCCTAGTACACATCAGCTTGCAGATATTCACACAAAGGCACTTGGAAAGTCACGCATGGAGTTTCTTATTCCCAAGTTGGGCATTTCAGCATTACATGCTCCAACTTGAGGGGGGGTGTAAAGGAGGAAAGAGAATATTCAGCATTTATTAGCATTTATTTCCGTATATATTAGTTATGGTAGTTGCCTTGCATAGAGATTCCTTTTCCTTTGTTAATTAGGACTCTTTGCTATATATACGGCTGGATTGTAAATTGTAAAAGACAGAAAGGAATACAAAGATTTTGATTCCGAAACAATTCTTTCACAAAGACTAGGACTTGTTTTAAAGATTGATCTTCCAAAGACTAATTTTATAAAATAATACTAAGTATTGCGAGGAAATCTGTTCCACACGCCATCACGAGTGATCTTAAAGGTATAACCTAACAATAAGAAATCAGTAACTTATTAAGAGATTATTGATTCTAATCTTTGGTTTGTGTTATCTTCGTCTGATCTGATTCAATCTCATCTGAATTTTTAAAGTCTTGTCTAACCTAATCTCAATTGATTTGATTTGATCTGAATAGATTTGATCACCACCAAAGACTATGGTCTCTCCGTCAAAAGGTTGTTCGACAGACGGTGGGGAAATCCCATGCATGATGTCTCTTTAAGCTTCGATCTAATGCCTCAAAACAATACATGTGGGTTCTATGAACCTCATCCCATACAATATGCCTAGCACGAATAAGCAATTATGCTAACAGACTTCGATGATTTATGTAGCACGTAGAATCCTCGTGAGGATTTATCAGTATCATGAACCGTGAGTCACTCGATAGAAGGAGGGATGCTATGCCACTCAAATCTACATTTAGTAAAATCTCTCGTTTTAAGTGCAGTGGGGCTGAAAGAACTATCCAAACAAAACTTTTTTTCTGTACCTCCATATCCATAAAAAAGAATGCACCACCTTGGTTATTTTCAACATGTTGCATTGCGGTATCATAAGCAAGGTATTGTTCTTGGTTTATCTTGGTCATGAATATATGAAGTTCGCTAGCTAATGTTGTGCGACCATAATGTAACTCTTCATAAATTAGCTAATTCTTTTCTTAGACGGAAGATGTGGAGGACATATTTGGGTACGATATTTTGTGAAAATCTTGGAGGCTCTTTCCGTGTGTTGTCAATAACATCTATATGTCAATCAAAGCGCGTGACTAATGATTTCTTTTGCACTTAACTAAAGAATTGCGAAGGACAACATAGAGTAAGTAGTGGAAAGATCCTTATCATACTAATTGCAAAAAAAGGCTGAACAATTTATAGCGTGGTGACTGAAGAGACGTTGTTGACGATGGAATATGTTGTCCAAAATATATACTTAGAACATTGTTCCAAAATAAACCAAGGTCTAAACATTGAGTCATTGGTTAAGAGGGTCACAAAGAGAAACATTAACCGACCAGCAGCAGATACCCATTAGCTAGCTTCTTTGAAACCATGAAAGTACTCATTGTCATCAAGTATACCTAAAGCGTAGTATGCATCATAGTAGGTGGTATATTGAACTCATTAACTCTTCAAGTTTCTTCGTAAGTAGTTAGACTTCGGACAATGTTCAAGAGAATCCTCAGATAGTACACTTCCCTATTCTCTAGAGGAATATATGTTATTCGAACAATAGCAAAAGTCTTTTGATGCGATTTCCACTGTCATAAGTTATCCTTCTTGACATACTCTTCTGGGAATTTAGTGTATCTAAGCTTCCTATCGTGAGAATATTTTTTTCTCGCTTTCATCCAACCTATAAACTTAATCTCTCCTATGGTCTCTCGCCGAACTATCTTAGTATCCTCGACCTCGTCTTCTAAGATAATTAAATGCCTATTGGTAGTTGGAATTCAAGTTTATCCACCCTTGCAAATTTGGTTAAACTAATTATTCAAGCACTAAATTAGTACCTTGACCAATTCCACTAATGATTCTATTATTAAAATTATGGTTTAAAATCGTTTTTCATCTACTTGCTTTGATTAGGATCACTTGCTTTCGAATGTAGATGGCGACCAACGAGGAATTAATGGGTAGTAAGATGTGCATGTTTAATCTGAAACCCTATTGGGGACTGGATAAGTGGCTTCATGAGCCGATTCTAATACGATAATGTGGTTCACACAAAGTGCAAAGCTATAGTTCAAGGGTTTGAATGAGTATTGAATAACGGTTGCAGGTATTTAATCGTTTAAAGCTATTCTACAGATGTTATCAAATGGATTAATTATGATGAGGAATCCATTGGCCCCTTGCGGTAAGTTGTCTCGGAGTACAGATGGCTAAAGAGGAAATGAAATATCACTGTCAAACATATCTTTAGAGAACAAAATTGTGATGTAGATGCTATTGCTAAAATGACTTATAAAGATACCGGTATTTGGAGAGAATTTGCCTCCTCTCAAATTGAAGTTCGAGAAACTTTGAATAATGATAAAGTTGGAATTCGTAACGTTCATACAGTTAATTTTAGTGATTAACAAATTCAATCTATAAAAAGGATGAGTTCATCACTGATGATTTACTCAGATCGGGCCGGGCGGTCATTTTATATTGGATTTTAATTGCATATTAACAAATTCAATGTTTTTCAACATAATTGGTGGGTCAAACTTGGTTCATCTTTGGCGCCTTGAAAGCTTAATTCTTCGGTAATTATGAGGCATGTGGATCGAAAATGGTGATTGAGAGATTCCTTTGTTTGTTCCTGGAAAGCGACGTTTTGTGCCTCAGAATAGCCCCACCACCCGTATGAATTATTGGCCGCTTTGTGGAGTTTCTGCGTCTCCCATTCTGATTCTTTTGTGCTTCATCGCTCGGACTGAGATGGATGCTTTAGGTTCTTCCGACTAGGGTTTCTCTCCAATCCGGATCGGGAAAAAAAGAAGCAAAAAATGGACACCTGCGAGCTTCAATTCGCCAACCAAGAGATGATTTCAACTTCGAATCTCTGCGAAATTCCGCTCTGTACCTCCATCGACAGCTTCCTGAACGATATTCTGAAGGACGATTCTCACGCCTGCACCCATACCCACACTTGCAACCCGCCCGGCCCGGACACCACCCACACCCACACCTGTTACCATGCCCACACCAAAATTGTGCCCGCAGCTAGCGACGACGACGACGACGACAGTGCGGAATCCGCAGATAAGAACGCGAAGAAGCATCACGCCACGGGTAACCGGGAAGCCGTTCGCAAGTACAGGGAGAAGAAGAAGGCTAGGGCTGCGTCCTTGGAGGATGAGGTGATCAGGCTTAGGGCAGTAAATCAGCAGCTGTTGAAGAGAGTGAAGGGTCAGGATGTGCTGGAGGCCGAGATTGCCCGGCTCAAGTGTTTGCTCGTGGACATTAGAGGGAGGATTGAGGGCGAAATCGGGTGTTTTCCATACCAGCGGCCATTGGAGAAGGCTTATCAGTTCTCCGTTGCTGATCTCGACATTTCTGAAGGGTATTTGAGGAACACTTGTAATGTCCAGTGCGGCGATCGGGTGGATGCCGAAGGGTTCAATGGCTGTAGCTTTGAGAAACCTGAGTGTGGATTGACCAAGAGCTTGCCTGGTGGCAAGGGTTCCAAAGGAAGGAAGAGGAAAGGTATGAACTTTACTACTCCCTATTGGTTTATATCCAGTTTCTGAAACCTGCAGGAGAAGTAATTCCATAGTTCATCTCTTTTAGGGTTGAGTCCTGAAAATTATATTTGACTAATACAACAACATTAACAACAAACCCAGTATAATCTCAATTCCGTTGGAATCCGGGAGTCAAGATGTAACACAGTCTATAAAGAACAGAGAGATTGTTTCTGATGCATTGCCAAACTTCATAGGAAGTAAGAAAGAAGGTTATGGTTCATTTCATATCGACTAACATGGTTAAAAAAATGAAACTTGATCCTAGATTGTTATGGTTTATTTCATATTCATTTTTCGCTGATTTTATTCGCATTTAGGAACTACTCAACCTACCTATGGTTTATTTTTAAAATCAATATATGAGCAAGTTAACAATATTTGTTTGCCGAAGAATTAGAGCAATTCTGAAGAACCAGGCACCCTACATCATAGATTTGTATGTACATTCAGAATGTGTGTGTGGCACGCACATATACTTAGTCTTGCTAATTGCATATGTTAAGAACATATCAACGATTTTGATTAAAATTCAGCGTTATGTTAGGGTCCGTTTGGTATAAGGAATTGATGGAATTGGAATTGAAATTCCATGAGATTCAATTCCATAGAATTGAATTCTACCAATTCCAATTCATTTTTTGCACTATCAATTCCAAATCCACATAATTTTTGTCCTACCAAACACCAGAATTGGAATTGAAGTCCTCAATTCCAATTCCATAGTTTGAATTCTGTGTACCAAACGGGGCCTTAGGGTCACTCAACTGTGATATAAGTAAATAACTTGAACCAAACCATAGTTAAAGATTAAGCTCAAATCGACTAGCTAGCTCAAACCAACGTCTTATAAACTCATATTTGTCTCTTTAGTACTTCGATGCGAGACTCTAAAAAGTTTTCTTTGTGCTATTATGTCTTGGGAGCAGCGTGCATTGATAGTTGAAGAAACTACATACTCGGGAGAAGGCAAGAAGTGCATGCTGCGGCGTCCAAGTTTGAATGGTCAGTGTGGATGTTTATAGTATGTTCTATGTGCTGCTAGCTTTGCAGAGTTGACAATAATAAAGATGCAGAGGCCAATTTGGTTCACAGCTCTGCTTTGCAAAGCTGGTTGGCTATGTATTTTGTATCATTAGCATTTCTTCATTCTTCTTTGCCCTTTCCAGCCAATATTAGAGTAAATATGCTGGATGGACGGGCTGAATTGGATTATATTGTGGTTGAAAATTGTATTCAAATGTTTTTTTTAATACCTGAGTATAATTTAAATGGGAAGATACATTTATACCTAACATATTATGGTATTTCCAGTACTGTCCTTGTACACACTACTTAAGACTTGAGAGATTTGATTCGAAGTTATTGATCTCGTATGATGATGCTCCCGGTTTTGTGGCAGTATGTGACGTTGAACCGGACAAACAACCGGTTAGGGGTTAACGAGTCGGATTGGTTGAATCAGGTCAACGACTCAGTAATGACCCGAACAATAATCATATTGGCTAGTTATATACCCCAACTGGTGAGGAGTATTATGCAACATCCCAAACACGTTTTTGTTGATTTCAATAAGCAAAAATAGGAGTGTTGGTGTCCTTATTTTTGTGTTGGAAACATTTTTAATCATCTAGGGAGATGTCTTGATTTAATGCCTACTGGAATACAATTTTTGGAAGCAGAAAAAAAAAAGGAGAAATTTTGGAACTGAGATTGATCTGGTTCGGACAGGTTTTTCTAATCATATGAGTCTGAGTGTAACGGTTTTGTGAAAAAATCAGTTAGTTTTTGCAATTATAAACTCGATAGTGTTTGTGAATATTTTAATGAGTTTTTCACAAATTTTGTGATTGAAATTTAAAGAGTCACTATTGATAATACTCTGTACTTTAGTTTCGGAAACACAAATAACAACAAACTTGAATTCCACAAGAGTGGGGTCTTGAGTTTCAAAGATACAATAGAACCGAAATTTCGGTACGTATCAAAACCGACAGAACCAAACTGAAACCTATCGAATCAAACCAAAATTTTGGTGTGCACAATTCAGTAAACCGACCAAATCAAACCAAATTGAAACCGAAAATTTCGGTACGTACCAAAACCGAACCAAGATATTTGGTCCGGTATCTAGTTTTTGTTTCTATGCATGGTCAAAGGCGATCTGAAGAAAAGTGATGTATCATATGAATAAGAAAAATGTAATTAAGGGAGCCCAAGAGCCTCTTTGACTAAGGATATGGGGGTATCGATCCAAAATCGGATGTATAAATAAGACCCGCGCCCAAAGGGTGAGGGGAGCGGATTTTGAGTGATTCAATTGGCATTACAAGCTTTCTCTTTCTATTATTAGTACTACCCACATCTTTAGAATCCATCAATTATACTCCTCTGTCCCTTAAAAAAGTGTCCGTTTTGACTTTTTGAGGATTTAAGGAGAGTGTATTTTGGTGTAGACTTTCCAAAAATGCCCTTTGATGTTATGGATAAAGTAGAATGAGATGGATAGATTAATAAGAAAAAGTGTGATGTGATAGGTAGGTTAAGAATTAGTATGGGTAAAAGTGACTTTTTAAAGAAAATGAGAAGTGCTTTTTGGGACGGATGAAAAAAGAAAAAAGAATTTTTTTGCGTGACGGAGGGAGTATTATTTTATCCAATAAGTAACAAAAATATGTTGACAAAATGGATAAAGATTGACTCTTATCTATAGTGAATGCCAAGATCATTTTAAGATAAAAAAAGTAATTAATAAAATTAAGTTGAAAAGAATAAGCTTTTGTAATGAATATTATAACAAATCTCATTTGTCACGAGTGCAATAATAAATTAAATACTTTGAGGCCGTTCATCTTACCTGTCAGTTGTAATCTATACCATCTCATTTGTAGCAAAACAATTGGTATATAAACTCTTGAATGGAACAAACTAATCGGTTGAATTCAATTTATAACTTCATTCAATTCAAGTGTCTCATTGTCGTCTCCAATTATCCCTACCTCACTTAAAATTCTATCAACCATGTTCCCAGTGCATGTTGTCCAACTCGTGGATAATTAGTTTATCAAGAGTAGTTTACCAAGTTCAATTCATCTTAGATTGCTTCCTAACTTTTCCCCTTCAACTTTATATTCTTCCATTTCTTTCTTGATCATTTAATACCAAAAACCTAAAAAAAAAAAAAAGAAAGAAGGATTGAGCTCGGGAAATGAAATGAATTACCATAAAACAAAACAAAACAAAACAAAACAAAACACATCGTACGTCTAATTAGCTAGTACTCCATAATTAATAATCCGATGATCGAGAAATGAGAAGAAGAGAACACATGTAACATCACATGACAGCGCATGCAGTGGGGTTTTCATCACTGAAGGCGGCGGTGTAACGGACCTCGGCGGAGGAGGCGCGCGCGAGCTCCTCCTCCCGGCGGACGTACCCGGCCGGAGCCTTTTTGTCGTACACCCCGGGGGCGTAGGGGTGCGCCACCACCCCGTAGGGCACGTAGGGCCAGATCTCGGCCCTCTTGCCGGTGCGGCGAGCCACCCGGGCCACCACCTTGTCGGCGTCGACGTAGCCCACGACGGTGAGCTTGTGCTGCTTGGGCTCCACCTGGACAGAGGTCACCCCCTTCATTCCCTCCACCGACCTCCTCACTCTCCTCTCGCACCCCTCGCAGTCCATCTTCACCCGAACCTCCACCGTCTGGAGTTGCCGGCGGTTGTTTTTGTAGCGGCGGGAGCGGCCGGTGGCGCAGTCAAATCTGTGAGAAAGATGGTCAAGAATTCCCATACTATACCAATAATTAAGGATGGATAGATAGATAGATGATTAATTATTTATTACTGGATAAATAGTGATGATTAATAATAATGCTCAATATATATGTGTGTGTAAATGTGTAATGAGGATATATGGGAGGGAGGAAGATGGGGGGGGGGCTTTTTATTAATAAGTGGTGGTTGGAAGGTGGAGACGGGTGAGATAGAGAGGGCTACCGCCCACACAGACCACTGCATATTGATGATTGTGAGTGATGTCCCCCCAGTCTTCCTAGTAAAGGGTTGGGGAGGAACGTTATTTTTTGTTGTTCTTTTAACTCAAGTGGTCAATAGGAGTGGAAAAAAAAAGTCGGTGTATTCAATTAATGTCTTTTATAATTTAACTTTTTGGTTAAACTGTGATGCCTCTTGATCATGAATTAAATATAGTTTAAATAAATTAAATATTATAAAAATTTGATATTTCGAAACTATATTTCTAATTTTACTAAATTTATATTATAACTAAATATACTTTTTCATAATTCATGGTCAAAGAGTGCAGTGCCACAATTTGACCAAAAAAGTTAAATTTTGACAATTTTTTAGGAATAGAGTGAGTTTGTTGGATTTAAAGTCTACACTATTTCAAGGGTACCTCCATATGGGAGTACGTGGTAGCCAAATACTTACCATCTTAATAATAAAAAATAATGTTGACTACATTAGGTTCAGTAAAAAAGCACTTCATTTGTTTCAAAAATATTTGAGAGGGGAAAGAAAAAGAAAAAGAGATGATATCAAAAATAATAATTTTATAATTCTTCTAATTAAGTACAGAGTATGTGGTTCATATACTCTATTTCCTAATTCTTTTAATTAGTACCGAGTATTAAAAAAAGGTACTCGACAAATTGAAGTTAAAATTTCCAATTATGGAATAAAGACAGACTAGTCAGAAGTCAAAACTGGGAAGGATTCGGATAAGTATTGTTGTCTCTCTTCTACTGTACTATTTTTGCAATCAAATTTTGAGAAAAACAAAGTTCTAGAGTTGATATATACTCCGTATTAATGATAAAAAAATCAGATATAATAAAAATGATTGCAAATCATACAAAAATGATTAAATGTAATATACTCCATGCTTCCTTCCTCCCAAAATGATTTATATATTTATTATTATAATCTCTGAGTAAATTTTGTTTGCTTGTATGTTTTCATTGACCATTTAATTAAATAAAATAATTCTTCCATAATTTTTTTGTAAAATTTTGATTAAATTTTTAAATGTATTTATAAGTTTTTGTTTTTTTGTATGGATTTGTAAATAAAATTGGTTTAAAATTATGGGATTTAATACATATTTTAAATAGTATAATTCATTTTGGAATGCAGAAAATGTGAAATAAAAAGTGTGCCACAAATAAAGAGAGAAAAAATGGTGGGACATAGAAAATAATGAACTTCTCAAACAAGAGTCACCGACCACAGCGTATCAGGAAACAATCTATCTATACAGAGTAACTTTTGAATAAAATAAAGAAGGTGACGAGGACTGGGGTGCCATATCATGTGTACACTACTGCATGGATTATTATTGGATAAAATGGCCTGGCTGGGTCCCATAGGGTGAGACATCAACATCATAGGGATCTTACATACTCAATTAGTTACCTTTAATTTCTATAAAATTACCCTAAATAGGAGTAAAATATAGAGAATATATTAAAATAAGAGTTTCATATTTTTATTTACTAAATAACAGTTTGTACTCTGATAATGTGACACTACAAATCTGTTAGACAAGATGTTATCATGAATATATATATTTGCAATGTCATTTGCTCATTGTCTTTTAGGTTTTCGTAATGACAAAAAGGCGAGAATCAAAGCTAAGAATATATGCATCAAGCAAGGCTTAGAGTCAAAGCTACAACAAGTTCATATCCGTTCGTGAAGATGGGACTTGAGCATATGTGAAAGGATTGAGACTGAAGATGTCGTTTCCTTAATTGGTTGGGTAGTATTTTAGGTCTTAGAATGTGTGTTAACGAATATGACATCTCTAAGATTCATTCATTGATAATCCTACCTTTAGAACATCTGTTAGATCAGCCTTTGTGTGGAGAAGCTGCTCTTTTATCGAATAACCTTTGGTTTATTCGAATAAATTGTGATTTTCCCCTTGAGTGAAAATGTACTGATTTAGTCGAATAAATTTGAATTTAGTCGACTAATTGCAAAGTGATCTAGCTAGTCTAATAAATGTGATCGAATTTAATCTACTAAATGCAGATGCTTTCATCACGCTACAGAAACGTCTGACTTAGTCAAATAAATGCAAACTTATTCGAATAAACTGACATTTTCAACTTCCAAACGACTAGTTTTTTTGAATGTTTTTCATCCATATCTACTCTCTAACTTCTATAAACTCCCTTGTCTCGTGATTATTATTAGAACACCAAGAGCATTTAGAAGAACACATCCTTTGAATATCCAAAGAGATTCTACTCAATCCCCTCCTAATATCCAAGCTAAGCAAAGCAATTGTTTTGATTGCTAAATTCTTTCTTGCTTGAATTTAATCCTCATTGCTTGAGTCTTTGAGAGATTTTGCCATATTCTATAGGACTTCATTATTGTATTTGCGGCAACCTACTTCGTGTTGGGAGATTTATTCTGTTGTGGTTTGTTTTCTTACTTTTTGTAAGGGATTTGTATTTTTGGTGTTGGGATTATACCAAGTGGTAGAAATTCTAACGGTTTGTGAAATTAAACGTTAGGTGGAAGAAATCTTGAGTCTTGTGAAATCAAGGCTTCGGTGGTTGGATAAGAGGCTTGTGAAATCAAGTTCTCGAGTAGTCGAGTTGTATTCGAATTGTCAAATTCCGCTAAGTTTGACGGGTTAGTGGAGGCTCATGCATGTTTGCTTCGGGGACTGGATGTAGGCATTTGGGCCGAACCAGTATATATGGTGTGTTCGTTGCTTTTATCCTTCACTTAATTTTGGTTGTGGTGCGTTGGTTTTGATCGAGAAGTTGTCAAGAATGCCTCCACTGCACGCAAAAAACTGGTCATTTGGGTAACACCTCTATCCACCACCCCCCTCTAGAGGTGTACAAGGCGTATAACAAAATCAACAATCCCGGTTGGATTCTTACAATTGCGGCATGTGGTACTATTTTGTAACAAATTTTTAAAATGAAATATATTTTTGTTACAAATCAAAGATGGGATATAGTACTCTTTTGTTACATGATTCAAAGTTAGGGTACCTCCTACATAAAAAGTCCATAAATTCGTCCAGTTTAATTTACTTTTCACATGGATATAGAAAAGAAATTACTTACTCTTTTCTTAAAAAAATTTCTTTTCTCAACAATGTGCAAATTAAATTTAATTCAAACTCTCAGAATTTTTAGGGAAGGAGAGAATTTAATTATTGTTTAAATGAGGTGAGCTTTCTAAATGATACTCCATCTATGTGCGTTAATTTTTTTATTAAACTTTTCTTTATCAAAGTATGAAAACTTTGGTCTTGATATGCGGAAAAAAATACAATGTTTCGAAATAATATGATTTAAATGGAAATAAAAATGTCACCAGAGAATTGAAAATCTAAAAGAAAAGAAAAAGAAGAAACACCATGTTCTCTAGACACGAATTCAAATCAATTATATTAGATATACCGTGTTCGCGAAACACATTTTACACTGATCGATTGGAATTATTTAAAAAGTTTGGGATTTCGTCCATTTCTTTTTCAGGGTTCAAGAACCCCCCCCCCCCCCCAAAAACATACGGAATACTCCGTTTCTCTGGATTTAATGATTTCTTTGACTTTTTTTAATCAAAATTTGAAAATCTTGATCATGATATAAGAAAAAATGTGTNAAAATGTGTTTCAATATAAATATAATATCAATTGTTTTCTTTTGAAGAACTAAAATTTTATACTCCGTAAAATATACTCCAAATTCGGTATCAATTTATAAATATAAATGTTAATGATTAAAATATTATTTGGAAACAACATTTTCGATTAGCGTTTTGGATAAAAATTTAATGGTGTAGATTAATTCTGAAAACGCTAACGCTAAAAGCATGAACAATGGCAAGTAAAAAAAAGAATGCCACACGCTGACATGACATAAATCAACCAATAAAAAATGGTCCAGTCACAGAGTGGCAAGTGAATAGAGTGGCACACCCTACAGTGGCAAGTCGTTACTTTTGTCACTTTTTAAAATTTTTGTAATTTATTTTAATTATTAAAAATAATTTTTGCTACTTGTTTCATTAAAAAAATACTTCTACTTCCTTAAAAAAAGAGTATTTTTTTCTCAAAAAAAATAAAAAAATAAAAAGAAAAAAAGAAAAATAGGTGTGGGGTGCCTTGGAGATGGCTTGCTCTCCGTGGTGGAATGGCTTGCCTCTCCATGCTAAGCATGGCAAATCATTTTTGGGAGCTGATGTGGCAAGCGTGGTAGGCACTTGCCTCGCCCGCTGCCCATGCTCTAAATACTACCGTCGTATAACTTTTTTACTCCCTCCGTCCCAAATTATTTGCCACATTTGCTTTTTCAACAGTCGCGGGAACTTTTGTTTATTTCTACGTTTTCATTGGTTATTTGATAAAATAAAGTATTCTTGACACCTCTTATTTCGAAGAACTTTTCATGTAGTTTTTTGATATGTAATTTTTATTTTTTATTTCTTTACCAATATGTAAATAAAATGAATTGAAAAAACTTGATATTTTGCCTCGGTAATATAAATGTGACAAATAATTTGGGACGGAGGGGGTAAAACGGTAACAACTAATAACGCTGATGTGAAACGATGCCTAAATCAGGATTCATAGGACGGATAGAGTAGGATTGTGGAGGATTTGAAATGTGGCGTGCTTCAAAGTCAGCGAGTCCTTGGAATTTGGATGGCTTCGAGATTTGAGTAATCAATCGGTAGTGGTCTTAAACAGTCAACCCAATCGCAGTTAAATCAACTAAAGATTGCGATCTTATTC